CTTCGCAGAATCTAGCCCCGGATCGGAAACGCGACCATGTGAATTTGATTTTTTACAAAAAAACCTAGTGTAAGTGAAACTATGTCAATTTGTTTTAAGTTTGCTCGACTATGCGTTGGTAACTAACTCCTTTGCTTTGTAAGATATCTTTTCTGTTCATTAGAATTCTTTGTTACTTTGAATCTGTGATTATTTAATTATTCATTAGATTCATTTATTTGCGTAGTTTAAGTTAAGTAAAACATAACTGATAACTCGAATATGCTCAACGGTCTTGCGTTTCACATTTTAAAATCAAACCATTCCTGAAACTCGACAGGTTTAATACTTGATAAGTGTGTAGATTATCATGCTTTTATCCTGTGTATTTACATTATATATTCACGTTGTTAATGATTCGGGCGGATGCAGATAAGGTGCTTATCCATATTTATCCGAAGATAAACTATTTAAAATACAACAAATAATTATTTTTTACCGGGATTATTCACGATTCTTTCATTATAAATTTTAAGCAATTTCAATCATAGAACCCGTGGTGCATTCAATGGTTTCTGAGTTTCCGTATGCAGCCATAAAGTCTATGTCTGTTTGGCTCAGTCGTTTTTGGGCTTAGTTGCAAAAATCTAAATATTAGTAAATCGTTCAGTGATTTTATTACTGATTCTTTTGTCCTTTTCATTTAAGAAAGAACGAAACAGGCTACCCGTTTTTGTAGATGGGCCTACTAAATCTATAAGCACCGCTTCATAGAAACAAGCTCTTTTTTTAAACGATTTTAAAGTATCTGCGTTCGTTCAAACACCTTTTATTTCGAGTTTGCCATGTCTATTTGCAGTTTATGACTGCATAAATATTAGAGGCAGTAAACAATCTACTTTCGGTTGGCCTTGCGCGTTGACTTACGGTTTAAGGTGTTTTATCAACATTGAACTAACAGTTTCAAAAATGCCATTTTTATTTTAGCTACAATAATTCCTTTCTACGAAAATAATACTTGGCATTCGTTTAATTAAGAGTTTTCCATATCCGTAATTATTTCAGTGATGATTTTTGGGCAATAACTTTCTTCAAAATGATATCATAATATATTAAAGAATTTAAACCAGTTATGGAAACATTTTGTTGAAAAACAAAAATATTTCGATGTATTCGATATTTATTTATTTATAACTTCATATACTAGAAAGTATAAAGGCGGACTTAATGCCATAGGCATTCTCTAACAGTCTACCTTAGGGGAGTGCAGAGATGAATCTTGGTACGTGTGTATATACATATGTATATATATAACATACATAATATTTATAGATACAAATACTCGTACTTAAATAAATACATATACATAAGTATACATAAATATATACATATACATATCATAAATATATACATATAAAACATATACAAACAAATATTATCAATTAGATGACTCTGCTAACTCTCTGAGAAACAGTTCTCGAACCTTCGTCTTAAACGCTTCACGTGTAGTGGCCAACCTTATTTTGAGTGGGAGCGCATTCCATAGAAGAATAGACTGAATAGTCAATGAAGAATGTAAAAAGTCAGAACTATGTGGAGGACAGCGAAGAAGAAAATTGTGAGATGAACGAAGATTTCGGCTGTGGTCAGACCCTAAGTATTGAAAGGAAGTAGTTAAATAAGCAGGTGGATTTGGGGAGTGCAACAAAGAGTAAAGAGTACTGAGAGCACGCAAGCTACAGCGTTGACGAATGGGGAGCCATTTGAGTTGGGAGCGATAAGAAGATACGTGATCGTTACCAGATATTTCATTACCCAATAATCATACTTTACGAACTGTTACCAATACTGACTCACTGTTAACAAATAAAACCATGAAATATATTTTAGTAAGGTTTTTCACTGAAGCAATCAAAGAAAGCACCGCGTTCATTCCACGGGAATACGATTTCACAACCCATATAATCTGGTCATTGGAAACTGGTACATACGTATTCAGTTCGTAAACCAAGTTTTACGATTACCGTAATAAACTAAACGTCGCTTGTAAAATAAGATGCCAATTATTGAAAAAGGTAATGATAAATAGGTACTATAGAATTTAGAATGAGATTTTTTTGTCAAATATTTCGAAGTTGAAACTAAATATTAAAAGCATTCGCGACTAAAGCCTTGTTCGGACTAGGCGAGTATTTTAGTCGAGTGCCGAGTAATTTAGTAGCTAAATATGTCTGAGCACTAAAAATTTAGTCGAGTAGGTTTGTAAATAATTTAGTCAAGTCAATCCATTTTGTTCTATTTTTTCGGGCGAGTAGAGAGTAGTTTAGCCACTAAATTACGCGGTACTCGACTAAAATACTCGCCTAGTCCGAACAAGGTTTAAGGGCTAGTTTTTAGTTGTCTAGTGTAGACAACGTTAATTATTCTATCATTTTTCAAATCGTACATTCTAGTGTATGTTATTAGACAGTATTTATCTTATCTTTCTTATACCTTTAAACGAGCAATTCTTGTATATATATAATCTGAATCTCAGACAGGGCTCCAACGATTTTCATAAAATTTAGCATACAGGGGATTTCGGGGGCGATAAATCGGTCTAGCTACGATTTATTTTCAGAAAATATTGTTTTATTCGTGTTTTCAGTAATCAACTCTTCCCGACATCTATTAGCGAATAGTAATACTATTTTTCTTAATTGAGGGCAACTAACCGCTTTAAAGACAAACAAGATGGCGTTATCAAAAAAAAATCATCGGTCATCATCTAGTTTCAGTTTAATTGAGACTTAGTGTTTGTCTACGCGTTTATAACACACATCCGCCCGGACGAATATGCATACGCAGTGGTGCTTCAAAACGTAAAACGAGGTATTCAAGGTACGGGGTGTCATCTTCATTTGAAAAGTAGGACAGTCTGAACCACCCCAAGCTGATGTACTGCGTAAAGGTAGTTGAACAGGCTCCTAACATTGCTAAAATCCACACTAAATGAGGAATGGGGATCTATGGACAAAACCCTTTTCCTTTTTTAATTTTCATTTTTTAAGTGTAGATTTAGGAGTGAAACCAGTATTTAGGTCCTCTACTAACCAGCGGACTGCGGCGATAACCGGTTTACTGGGTCTCCTTATTAATCTGTCAACAGATCACGTTCCATGGGATGGAATCGCACACACGCCTGCTCCGCATGTCCAGGCATTACCGATATTCACCTCCAATCAGAAAAAGGAAAGGAACAGAAGTGTCTCTTCGTTACTGATTATATTGATCATCCTATTTATACTGATGCTACTCAAGTTGTTCACACTGATTATCTGTATACTATAAATATAATATATTATTACGTCCGTACGTTAAGAATTTTAAATTAGAAAAAGTATAGGTGTCAGTTTTTATTTTTTCTGAGAAAGTAAACGCACTCCGTGTCTAGTTCACCTTCCCAACATGGCTCGAGTAAAGGGCAGAAATACAATTAATTTCAAATCATTTTCTATATTTTGTATTTTGAATTGATACGATGAGCTCGGAACGAATTTTGTATTAAGCACATTATGTTGATGTTAACAAGTTTTGGGTCCAATAATAGGGCTGGTAATCGAATAACTGTCAAGGAAGTCCGCTCGGCTCCTCTTCAATGAAATAAGCGAATACGCAGCTAAATTTTCTTCAATTTCCATTAAATTGTTTTTTGAGAACTTATATCTGAACGAGGAGTTCAGTTACAACTTTTAATATAAATTTAATTATTTTTGTGTTTTATAAGGTTTCTTTGGTGCTATCGAGTAACATCGGCTGGTGATGAATACGAAATAAGACAAAAAATCTGAGGCTTTCATTGGTTGTGTGGTATCTCAGGGTAACGATTTGATATGAAACTATGAATGAGTAATTTACTAGGGTGTAAATTTGTTCCAATATTGAAGGTTGAGACAGCTGTTATGATACAAAATTTTCGACTCTACCCGTGTTCAAACGCCGTAGGCACATATGAGTCGTCTATTATCAAAGGTGGCAATCTGTGCATTTGGACAAAAAAATGTTATTGATATGTCAATACAGATTGATTTGAATATAATCGTCTCCTTCAAAGAATACGGTTCAAAACCTGCATTAAATAAAGGTTAATAGTTAACCTGTTATTTATCTAAGATGTCGTTCAGAAGAGTTTTGTGACTGCCAATGGAATACAAAGTCAATAATTCGTTTTTCTGATTAACAATAATTATCCAAAAGTCACATTGCCACCTTTGATAATAGACGACTCATATCAGTTTTTGTAATGAAATACGAACTTAACAAATATTCACGATTGACTTCCACGGTGAAGGAATAACATCGTGTAATAAAAAACAATCTCGAATAAAGAATAATTTGGGGAATTACTAGTAATAGGGTAATCTTGTGAGACCGGGTAGATATACTACCATCCTGCCTATGTTTGCCGAGAAGCAGTAACGCATTTCGATTTGAAGCAACCGTTGTACTGTAAAAACTGAGTCTTACAACTATTAAGTGTATAATCTATGCTTACAACTAATGTCTCAAGATGGATGACGGCATTAACGTGTTTAATATCTATGGACTCCAATAACCACTTAACATCAGGTGGTCCGTGAGGTCGTTCAACTATCACATTGTGATTTTATCGGCTCCAGTAACCACTTTACACTACGCAAGAAGATAAGACCAGGTCGGTCACCCACTTTTTTTATTGTTTTTATTACCTTTGTAAGCAGATGAGCATACGGCCAACCTGATGTTGAGTGGTTACCGTCGCTCATGGACGTCAGCAATGCCAGGGGCGGAGCCAGACCAGTGCCTACCGTAAATCTACACAATAAACCTAGAAAAGTATTAGTCAATTCGACTCCGACATGCCCCGCCCTTCGTTCCCAGTGGAGTGCGGAAGTCCGACGATTTCCTCCTGACCGAAAAAAAAAAGATCCATCTTACACGTGTAGCTTCAATGAATGAATTACCAAATTAAAATTTAATTCACAATTACCATAACCGGACTGTTAAAAAAAAAAGTGCAAACATGCAAACAAAGAGCTCAATAATGAAATTTTAACACCTCTCCGCGTTGATGACGTGCAAAAACATTTTTTTATGAAACTGTCGCTATAAATTCTGTTCAGTTCCTCGGCTGTGTGTTCGACGAATTTGTCGGATGTCACATCTGGTAATATAGAAGGGTCCTTATTCTTGTCGTCTTCATAAAAATGAAGCTTAGTCTTACTGTGCGTATGTTTGTCTTTCTTCATATCGATACCCAAATAATCATCAATCTCTTTATCATAATACAGATCGTCACTATAAACCAAAGTTGTCGTTTTCCGATGCTTCTTTTTTTTTCGATGATTCAAATTATTCATAATATACGGCTGATAGTACGTGTATTTATAAATGTCATCTGTAACAGCAGTCACGTAATATGATTGGAAAGGCACATAAAAAGCTGGATACGGTGTATACGGTAAACTCGATGGCACGCTAGCAACCTCGTACTTATCTGTATGTGTACATATTTTTGTAGGATCCGTTTGATGGTTAAAAGACGTGGGACTCTTCATCATGCAACTACATGCTCCATGCGGTTTTTTAACTGATAGTCCGTGGGGCTGCGCTAATGACTCGTGTACAAGACTTCTCAGTCCCAATACTTTATTTTCTGAGTTTTTAACTAGACTATTCCCTACATGTCTAGTTTCTCCTTGAGAATCGTTGTTTTCTTGGCTGTCATTTTCGCTTCTACCTGAATTAGCAAGAAACTCAATCACAGGCCATTTTTGCTTCAATTCTAATGTAGGTGTCGGAATACTAGCTTTGTTCCATGTTAGGATTGAAGGGCTATACGTCATGTCTTTCTCGTGAGACTGTTGTTTCATTGAAAGCATCTCATCTGATAACATTTTGTCGAAAACGTTAGATTTCAAATTAGGCTTTCTATGGTTTGTATAGTTCGAGGTTAATTTTCGATGAGAATTGTGCTTGAAAAAAAAATCTGGAATCATCTCCGACACATCTGAGAAAGAATGAAATTTGTTTAATCAACAAAATGTGTGATGAAGTTATAACATTCATTAATAAGATTAAGAAATCACAAATTTACAAAATTATAGTCATCAATTATAAGTAGCTATAAATAGTTAAATATTTAACACAAATAGCACACAGTACTCTCAAAACACAGCATAATCAATCATCTTCAAAGTATAGCGAACTGCACAATTATGTCATCACCATCTATCAACGCGGTAATTTATATTAATCTCCATCTTTATTAGCATAACTCTATATGAAATTTCTCAAAGAAGATACTGTATTTTATTTCAATAGATACGTGTGATACCTTCAGACATTACAACACTTCGAGTTTCATTCCCGTTGCTAAAATTTTTGGTCCCTTGTATTGAAAAATTGTGTATCTCGATTAGGAATATTGTAAACACTAAAATGTGAAACACAAAAATCATAACAAACTCACATAATAATAAATTTAAATGAAGGTTTTTGTGTACCTACAATAAAACAAATCTAGAAAGCCATGGTGGTTTTTTGCTATATATTTTTTTATGTCAATATTTAATAATTTATTATGATAGGACTAAAATTAAGCGTATTATTATTTTACATGATTGCTTTGTGCAGAAGTATAGCTGATTACTGTAAAATATGCCGCAATCATACGCTTTGTTTGTACTCTGTGTGTTTCTTGCCTTTCAATTTATCTTACATTTTAAACATGGGATAAAATATTGTGATGAAATATGGATATTTTATAGTCAACAGGACCAGGCGACAAATGCGATGCGTACGATAAAACTGTATTATTAAGAAGCGCAGAAATTTTCCAAATTGTTAGCAGAATAAATGAACGGAGGAATTTCGTTGCTATGGGACTAGCAAATTTTTTGCCTCAAGCTGCTGACATGAAGGAAATTGTAAGAATTCCTTATTTTCGTACAGTTCTTATTATTAATTCAATGAATTTGATTTTACACATAGTAGACGTTCTTTAATAAAGAAGATTTGTTTGATATGACAATTTACTAAATTTTTATTGACCCATAATTCATTACGCAAGTGTGGCGCTCAACCCATAGGATCCAATCCCATTTCCACAGGAGGTCTTCGTACGTGAGAAATGTAGATTTTCATGACAATGTCACCCCTATCCGAAAATTTATAGAAATATGTAGCAACATAGCGCTATTTGGAAGTGTCGGTGCGACACGATATTCTGCTAATAGTAGCCGCCAAGTCCCGAGCCGACTCATGCAAGAGCCAACGATCCACGCCCTAGATACGTCCTTACGGATACTTCAGATCCACTTAGTACTGTTGCATGCTACTGCTAGCAGCGACCAAAGCACAGGACATTGTACTCGTCCAACTCTAGAACAGTTCGACGTGAACCTTATCCCAAAGCATCCCGATTCGGTGGTAAATGCACTCATAAAGCAGCCGCTGTTGACTGCCTGTTAAGCTTTTTCTAGGGGCGTTCGTTGTTAGGAGCTCCTCCAAGCTCAGCTCTTTAGATCTCCCATTCGTCCTAGACAAGACAAGATTCCTAAGTCAGCATTTTTCAATATTCTCCCGTCCAAAAAAACATATTTGTTTTTTATGCTTATGCTAATTAGACGCGAAACAGTCACAGACACCTGACGCTGTTCTACAAAACACCGTGATCTAATCAGCAAAGGAACAAAATTAAGGATAAAGATTGTCTAGTACAAGTACCGAAATTAGGAAGAGAGAAAATGTCAAAATTCCCAATTAGACTATTTAATTTTGGAATTACACTTCTAAATTCTTGAACCATATTAATGCGATTAGTAAACCGAACTTGGTAAATAGCGTTGCGTAAATTCATGTGATTATTTCAGATTTGGTCACAAGAATTAGCTAATTTTGCTCAACGTTGGGTTGATCAATGCGACCAAAATATTCAACCAGATAAAGAAGATATCTGTCGTGACTTAGGCTAGTATTATTAATGTTTAAGACCTTTCTGTTTCTTTATTTTTTCTAATTTTTTAAGTTTTTTATTACTCTGTCGTATTTCTCTTCGAATATTTTATAGTCATATCACCACTTCAATCTTATATTAAGTATTTTAGGTGAGATATTTTTTAAAGACGACTTTTTGCGCTTCTTATTTATCTAACTTGAAATCGATTATTGCGTTGCAATATAATTGAATCTAACAAAACAATTGATGACATTATAATATATATACGCTTAAGACAACAAGAGATTCCAACAATTATGTTCACAGTTAATGCGAAAGTAGGACAAAACATCGCCACAATTTTGGGAACTACAACAGGCCTTAATGTAAAAAGTTTCGTGGATATGTGGTTTATGCCGATACTGACGTATAAGGGAAACGTCGCCTATTACAATGAGTGAGTAACTTTGCAATAAACTAGAATCGCTTATGACTTTTAACCGATTTATCCTTGTATTTAATTTTATTAAATAGCTTTTTCGGGAATGCACCTGCATTATTTTATGTCTACAGACACATTATATACGGTAAAAAGAAATCCGGTTAGTAATTTAAAGTGAAATTTTATGCATAGTCCTCGTCGTGGCCTAAAGGATAAGACGCCCGGTGCATTCGTATGTAGCGATGCACCGGTGTTCGAATCCCGCAGGCGGGTACCAATTTTTCTAATCAATTACGTACTCAACAAATGTTCACGATTGACTTCCACGGTGAAGGAATAACATCGTGTAATAAAAGTGAAACCCACAAAATTATAATTTGCGTAATTACTGGTGGTAGGACCTCTTGTGAGTCCGCGCGGGTAGGAACCACCCTGCCTATTTCTGCCGTGAAGCAGTAATGCGTTTCGGTTTGAAGGGTGGGGCAGCCGTTGTAACTATACTGAGATCTTAGAACTTATATCTCAAGGTGGGTGGCGCATTTATGTTGTAGATGTCCATGGGCTCCAGTAACCACTTAACACCAGGTGGACTGTGAGCTCGTCCACCCATCTAAGAAATAAAAAAAAAAATTCAATGTATGACTCAATAATTTATATTCTTAGCTTTTTAGTCTAAGATGTGCTTTTATTATATTATTTTATTATTACTCGTGGTAGAACATGCATGCGTTCACATTTAAAATGTTGAGCAAACGATATGCACTCTTGTTTCAAGTTTTGAAATGGGTCTACCACGATGTAAAAATCATTTTTAAACAATAAATAAAACGTATAAACTTCTTGTGTCCTTAGTTACTTAAACTAAAATTACACATTTGACTGAGATGCACGTATAGGAACATGGAAAAACCCTGCGTATTTTTTTAATAAAGGTTGTTCACACCGTGTTTCCCACAAAGCGTTGACTGACAGCTTTTTTCATATTTCACGTTAATGTCAGAGCTAATTAGGGTCCAGATCAGTAAATAGCTGAAAAGTAAAGTAAGTAGGTTAATTCCATTTTAATGCTATCCATGATGACGACTTTTTCCATTGCTTCACCGCATTTTTGGGATAGCATCATTTTTTAAGACGACCGCACCATCATCTGCCCAGTGCGTCGTGAGCAGGGCCCTCCCGGAAGAAGCTGTCTATGCGGTATCCACAGGGTTGATCCTTGGCTCTCTGCTGTAGAACATCGACTATGTTTAACTTTTGAGGAATGTCCTCATCTTTGTCATTTGTTTTGCCATTATTAGGGATGGTTTAGGGAATTAAAATATTGAACCAGGACGTGATGTACAGTAATACAGGCACTGTCGTTTTAGGATCCTCGGAAAGTGTCGCCCGTCGATACCCAAATGGTGGTTGGAGACGTTCGAATTCAAATAAACATTTTTTTATAATCGGCTACATCATGCTTTGCAATATAATTTGTATTTAAATTCTCCTAAATGTTCACCAATACGGCGAAAACTTCGATATTTTTTTATGTCTTATAATTTGAGTTATTCGTTCCGTTTCCTCTACAGATCAGAGAATCACAGCATGAGCTATTTCACACAATTGATCTGGGGCGAAAGTGACTCCGTAGGCTGCGGCAGAGCCAGATTTTATGTAATAATTGTTTTTTAAATATAAATATTAACCTATCCATTAAGTACATGTATTTTCTACATGGATGCCAAATCGGATGCATGGTTCAGTAGTTTTAACGGAACATCCGTAAAAACCACTGTAGATTTATATATTAGTATAGACATATCTACGTCACTGAAAACACTAATTGACATTTCCGATTTCAGCTTCAATCAAAGCAGAAAATGGCTGTAAGACTTGTTTGTAATTTTGCACCCAAAGGAAATTTTCGTGGAAAACCAATTTACACAATAGGTTACCCTGCAACTCAATGCAGGGGTAATTCAGCACCCAACACAAAATATATTGGACTTTGCACTAAGCAGTTTCTTATACCAGGTACGTTTAATTATCTTTAATCTTAAGAAAGAAATACGAAATTAATGTTTCGATCTAAAAGTGTTCAAATACGGTAATAATAAGGGTTACTCATAATTAATCATGGATTTCAGCAAGAAAATTTACGTCTCGGCCTTTCCCGCCGAGCAGTTTACTCAGGATACTTAATTTATCAAATAATTCAACGAAGGATGAAATGGATTCCAATCGAAATAATTTGAAACAATCGCTTTTTGAAGAAAACGATACAAAAGATCATAGATATCAGAAATCCAGACATATTTATTTTGATAGAACAAGCGGTACGTAGAAATAATTTTAATAGTCATCAATGCATTAAAAAAAATATATTTTTAAATTTTTATTGCTTAGATGGATGGACGAGCTCACAGTCCACCTGGTGTTAAGTGGTTACTGGAGCCCATAGACATCTACAACGTAAATGCGCCACCCACCCCGAGATATAAGTTCCAAGGTCTTAGTATAGTTACAACGGCTACCCCACCCTTCGAACCGAAACGCATTACTGCTTCACGGCGGAAATAGGCGGGGTGGTGGTACCTATCCGTGCGGACTCCCAAGAGGTCCTACCACCAGTAATTTTGCAGGTTTGATTTTATTACGGGATATTATCCATCACCGTGGAAGTCAATCGTGAACATTTGTTATGTACCTATTTCATTAGAAAAATTGGTACCTGCCTGCGGGATTCGAACACCATTGCATCGCTAGATACGAATGCACCAGACGTCTTATCCTTTAGGCCACGACGACTTCAAAAATGAACTAAAAATTGTGACCATTTTTCGACTATACCATTCCTGACTAGGCTTGTAAAAGATCACTATCTAGACGGTCGTCGAAAACGAGCGATGCAAATATTGTAAATATCTTCATTTAAATTCGTTTTGACTAGCAAAACTTTTTGCTTCCATCTATTGTGCTGCCTTTTCTAATTTTAGAGATACCTTGCAGGTGTCAAACATAAATAGTAGACTTTTTATTTATTTATATCTGTTATGTAATCAAATATAATAATTATAGATAACCATCGAAGACCATCTCATTATGGATTCCAAAAACACTCAGCTGTAACAAACATTCACAAAAGTCGAGAGCACCTAAACAAAGAAACTTCACGTATGCTCAAAGTATATTATAATCAAAGACATGATGCCCTTCAGGATAAAAATGAAAAAAATCTAGATCTCAGAAAAATATATGACAGTAAGAGAACCTACAAGAATTCAGCTTCTGAGAACAAAATAGACCAATGCACTCGTAAAATCACACCAACTACAACAATAACAACATCTCCAAACAATATTTCGAAAAAGTATAGAGCAAACGCTTGCACGCGAAAGAGTAATATAAATTGCAAATCAACCACTCCCTTTCAAACAACTTCACATGGACGATGCTCTACTTTGAACGACACCTCGATATTTACGGAACTATGTCCTTGCAATAAGAAAACAACAACTTGTATAACAATTCCTACGATCTGCAACTGTTACACAAACTGCAAATGCTTAGAGAATAAGTCGCCTAAATGGGAATCGATAAAGGATTCTAGAAAATTTAAAATGGATAAGAAAGAAAACCCTAATATCAATTACCAGGAAATGTTTCCTAATATAGAAGTAAAAAATGGCGCTCCAATAATACCAATAAATCACTATCCAATATTATATCCTTGGATTGTAAATACCATGAAGCCTACAACCAATATTTGGACAGCAGCCAAAACTACACCATCAAACTCATACCTTTTTTCGAATGAAAAATACACTGGCGAAACACTAGAAACACGAAAAAAAAGACAACATGGATTGAATAGTCAAATTACATTAAAACCATTTTGGCAAATGGATGAACTTCATTACAAAATGCCAACAGAGCTTAGATCTCTTCGTTATACAACAATACCTAGTAGGAGAAGCAAATTAACAACGCGGACATCAAAAATGCAAACCGAAAGTATAACAATAAGACCAAAACAATCTAAAATAAAGAATCAGAAAGACCATGTGTCTGAAAGATATTTATCATTCGAAGAACTTATGCATTTGAGAAAGCTTAGTCCTGGAGATAACAAACAAGATTGGCGTCGGAAAGAAAGTCAAGGAAATATATTGAGAGAAGATACTACGACTCTCAGTACCGATCCGACCACAGCGGAAACTTCAGAAATAACAACCAATACACCTTTTATAAGAAATAAATACTGCACACGCAAACTTACTTGTACATGGACAGCTTTTACTGGGAACGAAACTAGCAACATTGGTGGCATTATCGATCACGGCTCAAGGACTCCACCAGGATACGTTGATGGCTGTACGCGGACGTCGACTTGCACACGAGAATTCATGGACCGTAACAAAATGGATTCTGTATCTCATGAAGATGCAGGAGCAACAACTATTGAAGATCAAGATTATTGTGAAAAACGCTCTCTGAACGTCAGGAGGAGAAATTTAGAAGTTGTTACAACAGCCGATTATTATAGCAATGCATATCGAGAAACGTATACTCACTCACCTTTAGACAGTAATAAATCATATCGTATACTATCAACAGAAAAAATAATTGAAAGTCTAAGTCCTGGTGAGGATTGCATCTGTTAAAAAGGATAATCAAGATAAAAAACGATCGAAAATGGAAATATTTTTTTTCAAGATAGAATATTTTCAACACTCGTCTTGACTGTAAATATATTATAAAATAAACTTTATACTTTAGTGGAAAGTTTTTTTCAATGCCGTATTACAACAAATCGATACAGTCAGAAAGTTTGACGTTTTCGGTGTAAATTGTTAAGAACAATTAGGTCGTTCTTTTGTCATTAATTCCTTTAAAAATTTGAGCTATCAAGCAAGTCACTGTCCATTTTAATTTTTTTTGTAACAGTTTTGTAGCTTAGAATTTGGGTAATGAGATATTTATTGAAAATTTTGTCTCAATGTATTTTTATATAGATAATCACATTTACAAACTGGAAACGTAAAAAAGATAGGTTAGATTTTGTACAAGTTTTTAAATCAATTTGTTACGTCAATAAACTTTTTCAAGACTTTATGTTCAGTTGGAGTTTCATTTGCCATGATGACACCAAAAGCATTGGCATCTTCAGTGACTTCATCGGAATCTAAGATTTCTCCTAAAAAATCCTTGACAGTTGTGGACTTCCTTATTTCTTCTATTTCCTGCACAATATCTGATACAGCTAAATTAGTTGTATCGTAATAGAGTTCAGTGCTGTTCTCAATTTCATCGCCATTGTCAACATCTTCCGGATAAAAGAAATGTCCTGTAAACTCTGTATTTGGTTTAATTTCTGATAGCTCTGCTTGTATTTTTATCGGATTAATACCGTTTACACTATACGTGCTTTCTGTAACTTCTTCAGTTACGTGAGAATTACCTTAAAAATCATTAATTTATTAAACGACTAAATAACAAACACATCAAAATTGAAATCAAAACACCTGAAAATAAACTACATAATTGTTCAACCATTACAATCCCTCAAAGTGAAATAGGTTAATAATAAGTATTTACATCTACATAAAGGATACACACTCGAACCTCTGAAAATAACAGCTTTAACCAAATCTGTTAGAAGAGTAGAATTAACTAAATCTTGTTCAGTTGATTTAGAAGTTGTTGTGAGCATTTTCTTGCTATAGATCTTACTCACAAATGCTACCACACTCTGATCAGTATAGCCATCATTATAAGGCGACCTTGTCGTTAGTATTTCTTTGAACATGGGGTCTTCACTTAATTTTTTTTTCAACAACTCTATAAAGTCATCCACGGCCAACGACTCTTTGCAAGTATTAGAATTTGTAGTTATTTCACTAACTGCTTGTCTTGTGAAATTGCGTAAATGAGAGAAGTAATTAAATGGTATATTCAATTCATCTTCTATATCCGGTATGTATGTTACAGGTTTTTGAGATTTTATTTTGTAGTTGTCTTCGCTTATATTCGGATTGAAATTCATGGTATATTCAGGTTTATTATGATCTATGTCTCTGCTTAAAGCTGCACTTGGACCACTTACAATTCTTTTTGTAGAACTCGTGGCATTATTAAAGTGCAAAGCTTGATTTCGATTTAAACCTAAAATTTTAAAAATATTTCATCACGAATTTAGCTGAGCAATTGTGTTCTATGATTAGAGCTTATTTTAATTGTACGATTACGCAATTTCTCTTGTCTGAAAATATTTCATAATTTCTTCCAGTTGCTTCAAGTAAAAATTTACATTGTGTCAACATATAAGTTCCGATTAACTAACCACACAGTGCTCTATAGTCAGGATCGCAAAGCTGTCCCTTTGGGCAGCGGGAGCATGGCATTCCGCTTAGATACACAGGCTTATCCTTTGAATTTCCACCGGGAGCGAAATTGCACACCAACCTATAAATGGTCCTGTTTTTTTGTCCGCCGGAGTCTTCGTAGCGTTCCTGGTAAGAATAATTACTTTTGTTGTATGTTATTTAATGTGCTTATTACAATTAACGTACTTTAGATTCAACTTTCAAACGTCGCCTTTTTTAGGTAACTTACGTGGAATGTGTTGATTTTAATAATGGATTCTTAAATGGAGAAACGACGGTGTGTGGTACGCGTTGCTCATGAACACCAGTAATACCAAAAGCACAGATAAGAGGCTGTGTACCACTGAAAAATCTTCTAAAAACCTTCTAATTAGGTATTCGTTAATTATCGCAGTACCACTGGTAAAACATCCACAGCCATAAACAAACATTACTTGGTACTAAAATAGAAAAAAAAATCTCGAGCGGTTCAAATAATCTCAATAGGTTTAATTAAAACACTCCGTTAATATAAATATATTAGCGTGGAAAATTGTTGCTCTCGGATGCTATGAATGGTTCGTTTGGAAATTAGAGGTAATATAATCAAAAAGATAAAATATTTAAATCTTAATTAGAATTGGCAGTACCGTAGAATTTCATTTTGTGATTTCTAAATAAATAATCCACATTTCGAAGTCGTCTCAAATGAAATAAGCTGCCAAATCTCAAAATACTGTTAGCTCTTCCTATAGATGCATAATGTGGGCATTATTCAAATTGCTATCAAAAACATATTATTCGTCAGTAAACACACAAATACCAACATGAAATGTTTTCGAAATTACAATACCCAGTAATAAATCGACATTTAAATAATTTTGTGCGTCATACAGGAGCTTAAGAAAATTCTTAAGAGTCTCGATTAGAAATGACTCACTTTGAAAGTTACAGCACCGCATCCAACCTGTCTGGAGTCCGCCCAAACTAACTGTGTGAAGTAATTGTAATGCGAATGGCCGGTCTCAGATGAACTGAAATTTATTGTTAGGCAAATTTATATGCAGACAATTTATCGGGGTTCCGAAATAAATTATCGTTTCCCTTAACAAGATCGGGCGGTTTGATCGAACCGGCATTGGAATGTTTAAGCAACATCAATTTTTATGAAGACTTAAATTGTACTCCGACCCAAATAAATACCCTTTTATGTTGATCTCGTGTTAAATTAATAATAGCCACATACATAGTTATCGATGATTACAGATTTCATAAAATTATTTTCAAATGTTGTTACCTTTATACACGACGTGTATATAATCAAAGGTTGTTACAAATGTTTAGTGGGCTTCGTTTTTCCATGCGTGCGTGTGTGTGTGCGTGTGTGCGTACGAGCACAACTACAGTTCATTTTAGGTCGAAAAAAAAAACAGGCAGCGAGAAAATATTTTTATTGTTGTTTTTATTAACAATTAAAATGTTATGAAGATCAGCGATAAACACGTTCCTTGATTTATTCCGATCGTTAATTCACAACGAAATTAATAACTTTTTTCTGATTATAAAGGTGCACAGATCCCGGACGCGTCGTCAATTTTTTTTATATAAATAAGGATGCAGATAATCGACGAAGACCACAATCTCTCAACTAAAATGCGTAATCAATAGTATTTAATGGCGGTAGAGCATATTGTTGTTTATTTAATGTGTTAGGGTCGTTTTTAATTTTGCGGCCAAAAAATTTACGATTTCATGAATTTAAACTTTCTCTAATTTTTTATATTAAGGCGTATTCAGAATAAAAAATGCTTCATCACAATCAAGTCAATCAGTTATTTATTGATAATATTATATTTTTATTTTACACATTTGATAACGCCAATACGGATGAAAATTTATATAGGAACTTTTAAAGGCCTAGAAATCGTACTTCTTTTTTTTAATAATATTCTAATAACCAATTAGTTTTCCTTTATGATTGCATTATATACTGATTTAATTTGCTGAATTTCAAAACGCATTACTATAAAAATAGCAAACAAGTTAGAATTTGAATTTCGGACCAGTGATACGAATGAGATATGGGGTAGTTTTTAATATATAACTCCTAATTTAACAGTGGACTTTTGGCGGGAACGCCAGGAGTGAAGTTGTGTGATTTGTTTTATTTTGTCTATTTAGTGTTTCTTCGGGTTTAAATGTGTAATAATGGTGGTTTATTAACTGTTTAATATCTGTGAAAGTGCACAAATGTGGGAAAATGAAACAAAGCCGCTGGACGTAACTTCTCGGGATCCTCCAAAAAGTTCACTGAAAAAATCTTAGTAAATGACCACCATTTCACTGAGATTATATTTCATCTCATATCATCTCATTTAATTTCATCCCAGTTGATTAATCTCAAATTAATCATCTTCATTTCATTTCACTCCATAATATCATTTTTCATAAAAATTTGAATATACATTAAAATAAGACATGACTTAAAGGTCTCAGTTACCAGGTCATAACATCCCTTAAAAAAAACCTAATTTAACAGTGTTTACGAATATATAATTATAGGTCCACGTGCCTGTTATCATGACAACAAATTTACTGTATTTATAATTACGCTAACATTAAGGTTATGAGAATTGAATCAAATAACTCGCTTTTGGCCTCAAATTTGAAAACGACCTGTTAATTCTATAATCGTATCTGCCGTCCTGCCTCTTCTCGCTACAAAGCACTCAACTACTTCGGCTTAGGAGAAGTTCTCATACGATCGCAACATCATGCCTTCTTAAGACTTGTAGCTCATGTATCAAGGAGGGCGGTAACATTCACTGATTTACTTCCACGGTGAAAGAATAATAACATCGTGTAATAAAAATCAAACCCGCAAAAATTATAATTTGCTTAATGGTAGGACCTCTTGTGAGTCCACCACCCTGCCTATTTCTGCCGTGAAGCAGTAATGCGTTTCGGTCTGAAAGGTGGGGCAGCCGTTGTACTGTAAAAACTGAGACCTTGGAACTCATATCTCAAGGTAGGTGGCGGCATTTACGTTGTATATGTCTATGGGTCCCGATAACCACTTAACACCGGGTGAGCCATGAACTCGTCCACCCAACTATGCAATAAATATATAAAAAGGGTACCAAGTGACCTCGGTAACAAGTTGAAGAAAGGCGAATAGTTAGCTTGTTTCTCGGTCCGCGTCAAAGAATAATTTAAAGCAATTCGGTTTTTAAATCAGATTGAATAACTTACGGCGTAAATTTTCCTAAAATTGAGACATTGACGTGCAGTAGTTCCATGTACCAAACGTCGACCAGGGACAGCGGAGTCAATCCTGGGGCATCTCCGTGTATTGTTGCGATATTTTGTCCGACAGAAACGGACCCTGGACACAAGAGCTGATTACACAACCGGAAGATAAACTAATTATCGGCCCTCTTGTGCGCCCTAAGAGTAACTACTCGGCTTGTGTAAAAATGAATTACCAAATTATTACTTACTAGCGGCCCGCTCCAGCTCCGCTCGAGTCTTTAACAAAAATTTCAACGACAATTGTAACTATACTGAGACCTTAGAACTGATGTCACTAGGTGGGTGGCGCATTTACGTTGTAAATGTCTATGGGCTCCAGTAAACACTTAACACCAGGTGGGCTGTGAGCTCGTCCACCGACTTAAGAAATTAAAAAAAAATTAAAAAAAAACATTCGACGTTGTTTTATTTTTTAAATAAAAGAACACTTATTGCAGCATAACTATAATAATTAGACATAACCTGTCGCGACACTTTTTTTAAATAGTAATGTGTTCTACAAAGTCATAGTACATTATTTTATTCTATTATCAATAGTTTTCGCAGGGCACGCGATGTAAAGAATATTTTAGGTAATTTTTTTACACTTTGGGTTACATTATTGGAGTTTTGGTAAGGATCCCTAAATTTTTTCAAAAAAGATTATAGCCTATGTCACTCGGGAATAGTGTAGCTTCCAAACAGTGAAATAATTTTTCAAATCGGTTCAGTAGTTTCGGAGCCTATTCAATACAAACAAACAAACAAATCTTTCCTCTTTATAATATTATTAGTAGAGATTAAAGTGATGTGTGATGAAAAATAAAGCATGTAAAAATATAACCACAGCGTTACAATAAAACCTGGTAAAATATAACGTAGTCCCTTTGGCATTACTGTTCAACTTTTATTGACTTAACCATTAATCAAAGCGGCGTGTTTGTTTGATGCTGTGAATAAATTTATTCATGAATAACTGGAAAGTGAAATATTTTATTCGCAGAGCCTATGAATCCTGCGAAGCGAAACGATTAACACGTGTTTTCTAATTAAAAACACTGTCGTGTCGTGGTACGAACATTACATCTACCAAATATTAAATAAATAAATAAATAAATATTTACTAACAGTCACGCCACGTTAACTGGTCCTGTGATAAGTTCGTAAAGAACTTGTGTTACAGGTACCAGATAACGGAAATAAATATAAGATTTTTATTATACACATACACATATTTAACATACATCCATAACCCTGGAAAAGACATTTATATTTATCATACAAATATCTTCCCTTGGCGGGATTCGAACCCGCAACCCCCTTGTGTAGTGACCATGTCACTTACCACTACACCAGACGGCCGTTAAATATTATAGTTAATACGAACCTAAATCGCGACAAACATCTTTGATATCGGGCGCTCTATGTTTTACACACTGGTTCGCCCATCGTTGAGCCGATTTTTGCAATTCATCGTTCCATTCCTGCATAATAATTAACATTTAAATCGTAACGTGAATAGTAAATAATTGAGTGCCTCGGATTTGTTTATTTGAATTCGAAGCCATCTTTGAACCTAGCGTATAGGTTCAGTTTTATTTCCAAAGTTACTCTATGTTGACATAGTGGATGGGGAATGCCCGCGGCTCTATATAAATTAGCTAGGTCCACACTCAAACATAATGATGACCTTTGACATTTTCCAATAAAATCAATTAATGAAAAGTAACCAGCTCGGTCTCCCGTAACGGTAATTTTGATATCGTTACAGTTAAACGATATTAAAATAGTTACTTAGTTAAGTAATTTGTTTATTCTCTAAAATCGTGTTTTACGTCAGCTACACAAAAAATTACATATGTATTGAAATAACTTCATATATGAAATCTAACAAGGGCGAACGTAAGTAATACATAAATCACACGAATTCTTTTTTTTCCTGGAAGTAGCAAGTCTTTAGATGTTTTCAAAGACATAATAGAACATATAAAAAAGTGGTTAACCATTTCTTTCCTTTGATGAAACTTGTACGTTTTCTAGTTGTAATTGTTAAACGTAGGCAAATATGTACATTAAGATCTCAACCTCTGTCCAAAATAAATTTATCACGTTTTCCCACTGGAAAAAGCAATACTGTGCCACCACACATTTAGCTACATTTATACCAAAACGTGTTACCAATTTTAGCATATTGGAGGCAGGTGGCAGGGATCTTATTTCCCCGGCGGCTACTTTGTTACGCCGACTATTTATTTTGTCCAAAATAGCTTTTACGTCTTCGGCATTTTTAATTGTTTTTTCTAATTGTATACAATGGTCTGCCGGAGCTTCGGACTGCATTAAAAGAAAAACCATTATTAAAAACCGTTAAAAATATAAATGATTATAATTATTTACTGAACATTAAACTATTTTGTTTATTAACAAATAAGTACATAAAGAATATTATTATTTATTATTTACTTATTATACAAGGGCGAAGTCACGGCTCACCAAAGTTAGATATAATTGATTTGATATTGAAGTAGAGCCTATTGATTCTAGACCTAAATACCACCACCCACCTAAAAATCGAAGTCTCAAATGTATTAATTGCCTAACGAAACGCATGAACGCAACCGCAGTCATGCTTCGCGGCAGAAATAAACAGGAAGGTGATTGATATACGTTTCCGGTTTTCTTGAAATTTGGGATAAAAAAATATTACTATAATTTCTCTTAATAAAGCTCGTCACTAGAAGAACACCGGCTTAGTCGCAGTACATACACTGGACATCTTAACCTTTAAGACTAAGACGGTTTTACACTTCGTTTTTTGAATTTACAGCTCTATGATGAATTTTTTAACTCATGTAAATTGGTAAGTTGCATAATACCATGGACCGCCTGAATCTGATAATTTTTCAGAACGCACTACCGCCTAGCTTGACATTCGAAATCAAAACAACCGACAGCATTGCTTGGAAATATGGCATTTGCATGCTTAAATTATAAAAAAATGGTATCTACCGGACGATCAAGGTAACATCGCGTGACTTCAAACACACCAGAATACATTACAATACGAAAGACAAACTAAAAAACGAACAGTAAGCTTTTGTCGACACACTTTATGCATTGTCATAAAAATGTTTGTATTAAATTTGAACTCGAACAAAAACTATTTCCTCGTGGTGAATTATTTAGTTAAACATAAAACATTTTGTTTCGATTTTAGATATCTAGGTAATTGAGAAACAAAAAAAAGTGAATTCAATTAAATGATAATGTAAACAAATCGTAACCTGCCTGGAATTTGCATAACGTATGCTGTTTACTGTTATTACAAATATCAGCACCACAATAACTCTTGCATTCATATTTTGCAATAAATATTGCTGAAAGAAATGTTAATAATAAAGTATTCAACGTCATCGTTAGAAAATAAAACGAAGCGTAGGTATTACGACGGTCTGATCACAAATCCAGTCGGTCACGATTCGCATCGCGAACTGACTGTATGTACTCCTTCGCAAAAGTTGACACTTTACAAAGAAAGTATGATGTATTGAAAACGTGGAGCTTGCACTAGCACTCTGAAAAAAAATCGAGAAAATGGAGCTTTGCGGCTTTCCCGTTCGGGTTTACAAAATAAACTTTATTTTCACTCTTTATTATGAAAATCATATTTCTGCGAAACTGTTTACAGCAGTAGTAAGTACTAGTATAGGATATTTCGAGGTTTTGAGCTAGAAAGGACTTTTTTTCCTACCTAAGCTGGTAGCCTAGGGGGTTATGCCAGCGTATCCGGGCAAGTAGGTGTGCCCATGGAGCTCTAACCTGAGAAAGTTGCTAACACTAGCCCTAGCAAGAACAAAGCATCGCTGAATCTATCACCGGATCGGAAACGCGACCCACTGAGAAGATCCGGCGAGAATCTCAATGGGCTGTGTCTGAGGGTTAATTTGATCGCCAAGCCTTTCGTCGCAAGTGACGGGTTCGACGAGAACGGTGACTTGTCATTACGGAATCTAAAAGGACCGATAGTAGTGGGAGGATCCGAAATGAGAAGAGACTGTGTCAACATCAACGACGGGTATGTAACTCACTTTCGGGTAACTCAGTAGAGGTTCTATCCGAGTGAACTTTAATATAAACATGAACAATACGAAAGTTTTGTTTTCTATGCGTGGTCTGGGGCGGCTGACTTCGAAAGATAGCGCCAACCGCGCCACCTAGCGCTCGTTTTTATTTTGACCTCATGAATCCGAAGTTAAAATTAAAAAGACCTACCTTTATAACGAAACTCGTTTAGCTGTAATTTAAGAAGTTTTAGTATTTTCATTCATGACGACTTGATGGTGCAGTAGTTACCGGCCCTGACAGCGGTCGGGGAACTTTTTTAATTATTACCCCAATATATTTTTGTGTAAGTTGATATTACCCCATGGCGAAGAACAAAAAAAAACGAAATCGCTTCTTTTTAGCGTCTTTCATAATAAAGCCCCCATGATAATTTTGAAAAAAAAAATTTTTTTCGTTTCGTTTCATTTCGTTTCATCGAGTTTGAAATCACAACGATTGTTAAGAAGTTTCACTTCAATATATACTTTTTACTCACAAAAGTTTCATTTTTACCGCCCAAAATTTCATTTTACCCCATTTGAGGTAATTTACCCCGGTTCCCCGACCACTGGGCCCTAACTATTGCGCCGAGAGGATTCGTGTGATGAACAGGTTAGTTCGCTCATCGTCTATATCGGATTCGGTTACAGTTAATAATCACTAACTGTAACCGAATCCGATATAGAAACTTCGGATAATTTCAGATAGGGCGGAGTCTAATTTAACTAACAATAAACAATAATAATTATGTAATTGTTTGAATTTTTTAATATTTTTTATTATTATTATTATATTAATTAAATTTTATTAAAATTTTAATTTATCACTCTTTTAATTAAAACACAAGCAATGACAATGAAAACTGATTGATATGTTATGTTGTGTTAATTTTTATAATGATACTAGCTTTTGTTGGCGACTTCGTCCACGTGCTATAGTTACTTTGGTATTACGCTAAAAGGAAATGCCTATTTCAGGCCCAAAGCGGACAATAGATTAGAGAAAAAATACTTAGTGCATTAATTTTGTCATAAATAAATATGCTTTTACTTTCTTTCAAATGAGCGCCACAGGCCACTACAGTTGACAATTACAATTCGAAAGACTTCCCGAATGGTCCTGTAATCGTCAGGATCAGGACCTGATGATGAGATCCTGGAGAAATCCAGAGAAATGTACCATTTTCAAGGCCTATCTTGTACTGATTTGGGTGTTTCTTGTTATTCTTTTTATTCTGCGCCGGCGCGCACCGGCCGGCCAGCGCCTTGTTTATCATTATTACGGGCTTGATCATTATTTTTCTGCGATTTTAAATACTTGTAATGAATAACATATTTATTTGGATAAGGGTTAATATCGTCTTTATAAAAATACCTTCAGAAATAATGCTTTATTTTAGAACAAATTTGGTTAGCATATAAAAGGTTATACCTAGTCAGGTCATAAATTCTGTCACATGTTTAATGTAAAATAATTGAAACAAGTTTATTCATTATGTAACCATTCATATACCAAAATGAACTTAACAAAACATAGATTGTTATGACACTAAAGTTTATTCAAAATGACCTCCGTGATTTTGAATACAGGCCTTCAATCTGCGCGGCCAGTCGTCTATCGCAGCACGAACGAGGTCCATGTCAATATCGGCGGCTGCCTTCATCAAGGATGTCTTGAGTGACTCCAAATTGGGATGAGGCTTTGAGCACGCCTTTTCCTCCAAGTGTTGCCATATCTTGTAATCTAACGGATTCAAATCTGGACTGGAG